AAGTAGACACATGCCTGAAAGTCTTACCATTTGCATGATCTGAGTTATACATAGTGAATTGCAAGTTTATAAAAATAAAAGCAGCTTTAATAATCACACATTGGAAGTTAAAGACAACAGTACATGAGTAGTTCATATTCATTATCAAGACTAAAAAATGTGTGAAAAGGGATGCCTTCATAAAATATGCAGTTTCCAATATTGAGATACACAATCATTGGAGAACTTGGCAAAGCAAAACACTGGAATGTTAAATCATGATCATCCACAGCTTGCTTCCTTTTGATTAAGATGCTCATAAAACTGGAATGTTAAATCATGATCATCCACAGCTTGCTTCCTTTTGATTTAGATGCTCATAACACACTGTATGAACTGAAAAGAGAATAACCACTTCTTAGATGTATGACAGAGAACAAGTTTTTACTTTTTCTCCTACAATACTCATTGTCACTACACTTTTCTGTAAAGAAATTCAGCCCACAAAGAGTAAAGCTTTAAAATACTTGTGAAAATAAGCAAATAGTTAATTAAAGCAAAGCATCTCCTTAATGATACCAAAGCACCAAAAATAAAAACTAGCACACATGGTTCTCCCCCTTGCTCCAAAAAAAAAATCCCCAAACCCAGGATGACTTGAATCTAGTGTTCTCTTTTTGCTGCACAGATGTGGCTAGGAAGCCAAGACCCAGAAGCCTGACTGAGTGTAATTTGTCCACCAGACCTCCACCAACCCTTCCAAGGAAAAATGCCTACCAAGCTTTAAAACAGAAAATTGGGAAAAAAAAAAAAATCACAGAAAGTGATGCTAACAAGTAATGTAGCTTCTTTCATCTTCTTGAACCACACTGGTTAGAAGTTCAGAAAAAGGTACACAACATTTTATAGAACTCAGTAAAATACATGAAAGCTTTTTGAGACAATACTCAACATGCCCTAGAACTTCTGGGTTCTTGCTGCACAAACTCAAATCATTACTAATTGTCTTAAGTTTTTCTTTTGTTTTACCCTGGAATTTTAATAGAGTCCTTAAAATTTACTTACGTCATCATAGTGGAAGTTCACGAAACCCTGCTGAGTTGTATCCCTTCTTCTAAAACATTCTGCAAAAATTCATTAAGAAAACAGAAACCAAGTAAGAAGAATTGCAAATAAACATTTTTTTAAAGTGTAGAGTACTTTCCTAAAATTTCCCAAGTCACATGAAGGAGAACACGATCAAGAATACTGCAATTCATTTCAAGACTAAATTTTTATATCACATACAACCCTTTATGTTCTCTTAATAAACAAAGTTTCCCAATTTTGGTAACATTACTTTTCCGGTCTCTGGAGTAAACCCTGCATTAGTATAAAGTCCTTTTTTTCATGGGAATTTAAAAAATCCTAGTCTGTAGATTATTGATAGAAATCTCTTTTGTAGTATGCTAAAGTAGAACTTGAGATAAGTGAACAAACAGGTTTTATTAAATAAAAATATATTATGTGGATGACAGCAACAAGGCCCCAATCCAGCATACCAGTGAGAGCTCGGAGTTTCACACAGCAGGCAATGTAATCATCAAATGCAATCTTCCCTTGAGTGCTGTATCGCTTTGTGATGGCAGTCACAGCCTGTGGGCTCAGTCGAAATCCTATTTGAAAATAATAGTCTTAGTTTGAAAAGTCAGGTAAGTTAATAGAATCCAACAAGTTTTCATTGGAAATATCATGTGTTAGTTACTGCAGGATGATAACTGGGAAATGGTGTGAGTCAGTGTCAGAAGCAAGAACATTTCACAACTTACCCATGGTCATCAAGGCTTTCTCCAGTTCCTGACGATCCACTGTGCCACTTCCATCACTGTCAAAACTTACAAAGTGTTGCTTCCAGCCATTGACCACAGCCCAGAGTTCTTTAAACTCATTAAATCCCAGTGTGCCAGACATATCCCTCTGATTTCAAAGCTAAGAAAAACATTTCTTAACTAAACAAAACCACCAACAAAATTTGACAAACAAGAAAACAAACAAACAAAAAAGGCATATCTCTGTAGTTAAAACTTAGTTGAAAGCCGCTATTAATACAATTTTACTATTATTAATTTTCCTGTAGAACACTAAAGCATCCCCCAGCACAGATGGAGGTAATACTACCCAAAACCTAAGGTCAGAGATTTGCTCTCCCCACTTCTTCCCAGTGAAACCTGCTAAAGCAATTTTCCCTTTGTGAATTCTACTTTAGTTGACACACTTCTCTTTAACCTGCTGCTACGTAACTGTATCCAATTAAAATACATAGCAGAAATAAAAATAGATGCCAAATAATAAATTATTATATTAGTTCTCTTGTATTCTAAGTGGTTTATTCGAGATGAGCTAAAAGCCCTTCCAGTTTAATTTCTGCTTTTTTCTTTTTAAGCAGTAAAACTTTCAATTTAAGTTTTGGCTAACAAACCTCCAAAGATTACAGCCTTACACAGAATATGTAAGTCTTCCACAGGTCCTACTGTTGAATGCCACATACCATTCCATTAGATACTCAAAGCTGATTCATTCATGAACAGGATTTAGGAGGACTTTGATTGTATTCAGGCTGTGTACAACAGATGCTTAAAATTCATTAGGAAGGATGAGAAATTGTAAAGGTGTCCTACTTGAAAAGCACAATTAAGTGATTTGAACAATGCTTTATTCTGGGCCACCAGACCTGACTGTTCATACACTTGATGGAGAAACAGCTCCCCAGGCTTAGAGGGATACCACTTGCTGTAAAATGATTGGTCATCAAGAGCCTCATTTGTTTACTATTTCTTAATTTGTTAAAATTAGTGAGAATGGAGTTTTCTATCTTCCCAATCACAATGATCACAAGACTTAATAAGTAAAGGCTGAATGGAAACTACAAAGCATTTCCCAAATGTTCTGGCACTCTCTCATCTTTGCTTACATAATGCAAAATGTTTACATTTCATACTAAAGGATACATCCAGCATTGAGATCATAAGTCTGCAAGTCTCTAAGTTGAAAGCTGTTAAAATTAGAAAAAGGAAAGATAAATTATGTTAAGAGCATATTCTTCAGTTTTATCTAAACATAAAATGTCAGATTTATTATAAATTTAAATTACATAAACTATTATGTAATTGGTTCCCCAGTATAGAGCCATACCATATTTTTCATCCAAGTAAGAGCCATTACTTGTTAGAAAAACTGACAGCAGGTAATTTGGAGGCAATTCCAGTTATATTCAACATTTACTTGCTCTCATCTTAATCCACAATAGTTTTGGGTTTCAAAGTGGTCATTTATATTCCCCCCCAACAGACACCACTTGAGCAAGCCAGTTTCACTCACAGAAGCTGTAAACTGAACAGGAGGTATCCCAGCACAGGAGTACTGCCACAAATTTTGGTCACTATCAAAGCTCAGTTCAAACCAAAGCAAAGCATCTTTTGAAGAACTGTCTGTTCATTACAAAAAAAACACTTCAACTCCACAGCCCAGCAGAGTGGGGAACTAAGGAGGCTGAAAAGGCAAATTCTTGGCACACAGAACTGAATATAGAGAATTTACATGTCCAAGATATGAAAAGGAAACCCATTTGCCATGCAAAGAAAAAACCCCAGCTCTGCAGAAGGCACAACTACACACATTTTCTAGGGAAGAAGAATTAGTGTGCTTTAGATGTGCTTGTTTATTCAAATCATTAACTTACGTTTATATGATCCTGCAATCCCTGACTGGGTGAGACATCTCTGTAGCTCATCAGCATCTATTTGTCCATCCTTTCGATAACAGAAGATGTATCAGCTATTAATACCCTCTCCCAGGCTGCTTATTCCCAGTACCCATTCCCTTTCCAGTGGCATTCATTCAGTTATGCTTCTCAAGACATCCTCGTAACTCACAAATTTAAAAATTCCTGCTTTTTAAAATATTACGTTGCTAGTAGAACAAGCAAATGTAGAAAGCAAAGAACTTTGAAAGAAAAACAAAACAAACTCAGAAAAGATACCTATCCACATGGCTTGGAAAAAGCCTCACTTCCAACAAATCCTGCTCAGGGCCAAATAGAGAAAACAACTGCCAATTCATGGAAAGCAATGAGCTGCCAGAACTGGAGGTGGAATTCTAAGCTTTATTCCTCACATCCCCAACATGAAGTTTGGTTCAAACAGAGTTTAATTTAATCTCATTCAGGAATGGAACATTATGTCTGCAGACATAAAAAATGATGACACTTCTGTAAAGCATTAGAAGATGAAAAGCCAGGGGAGGTTTAAGTTGGGTATCAGAAAAAGGTATTTTGCCCAGAGCGTGGCTGAACACTGGAATGGGCTTCCCAGTGCAGTGATCACAGCACCAAGCCTGGCAGAGTTGAAGAAGTATTTGGACAACACACTAGGCCCTTGGTTTGACTCTTGGAGTGTCTTTAGCAGGGCCAGGAGTTGGACTCAGTGATCCTTGTGGGTCCCTTCCAATTCAGCATATTCTATGATTCTGTTTGTTACAGCATTTTCCATGTTTTGAAAACTCTTTTTTTCAAGGATAGAGATATAGTACTGAATGATATGGTGGGAAGAGCACAGCCTGATAACTTTCAGAAATTAAATATCGTTGTTTAGAAGACAACGATAGTGTTCTATGTTAAATGATACCTGACAAGGTCTAAAAAGAAGGCAACAATATTTTGATTCTATGTAAAGTTAATGGCAGCTAAACCCAAATTTGCTTCCTATCTACTCCATCAGTCTACAGATGTATTTAATACTTTAAATTCACAGGACAGGGAAAGGGAAGAGATTTGAAATAGTCATTAATATCAAGTAACTAATCTCTTCAAAGGCTTTGTACCTTCTGAAATAAAGATAGAAACTGCATAACTTTAAAATAGAGGAAGATCGAAAAGCATGACTGTAATCTAGATTAACATTACCAAAAATATGCTTGTCTTTTTTGGGTTTTTTTTAGTAGAACATAAGCAGGTTCAACTAGACAATGCATATTGGCTCTGCAAACAGGCTAAAAAATAAATTATTACTTCCTATAAAGACAGCCTCAATTGAACAAAAGATAAGAAACAATACTTTTGACTTTCTTCTGTGAACAAAGGAAACTAATTCATCAAGTCAAAGACAAGATCCCTGCTGTAAACTACTTCAAAGAGAGCTCAGAGAAAACATCAAATATATAGCATAAAAACAACACAGCAGCAAACCACAACCAGAACAAACTAATTCTACAGTAAATATAGATGGATAACTGAGATGTGGCTTTTTACAGAGTTGCATGGATGGCTATAAAAGCAACTGATAATTTAGCTGTTACATTTAACTGTCTCCTTACAGAGTTTTTACTTCTGCACAGCCACTGGTACCAGAAACAGACACCTCAGATTCCAAGGATAACTTCGAAAGCTACTGAGTTCATTTTAGTAAGGAATGATTTCTACAAATGGAAAGCATTTCAGAGTATTAACTTAAGTATTCTTAAATGCTGACTTGATCATACCCATCAACCCACTGGGTATGGGTAGTATCCAGCTTCCAGGTTCCATGCCTCACTGGAGAAAGCTGAGCATGGTCTATGTTTTGCAGAGATCCAGCTCCTGCCACCTCTTCTCCACAGGGCTGATCCTGTTTGCTGCTCCCTCCCTTTCTCTTTACAATAGGAGCTCATTCATTTGCCCAGCATCAGTTACCGGCTCCACTGCTGACTCCTGGCACACACCCAGGAGGCCCCTGCACAGACACACCTCAGCTGGCACACAAACTGTCAGCACAACTCAGCTCTGGGCTCCCCCTGCTCAGAAAGCCTCACTACACAGAGGTCATTCAGTGTTCTCCTTTACTAAAAACACACAGCCCAAATATTTTCACAAGCAGTTAGAAGTGGTAAGATACAGACTGCAAGATGCATTATTAATTCAAAAGAGTAACAGAGAACAAAACTAATCCAAGTTATGGTGGGAATGTGAACATCAGCTAATTGCTGAATTTAAATTTTAATGTTGTGGTTGCATCTCTTCAGGATACAGAACCAAGAGCAGAATTTTAGATTTGCACACACCCTACAGGTGTGCAATAAATAGCTATAATATAGCAAACAGACAAGGAACTTCAGCTCAATAAACCTAACTTAATTGTTCCTAAACCCTGTAATACAGGTCAAAGAGCATTTGTTTCTAGCAACATATATGATCATACAAAAACAGTATATGCCACAAAATTACAGCAAAGAAATCAAAAATGCAGTGCAGAATGACAGAGAAGGGAAAAAAAAAGTTGTGAAAGCCTTTCCTTTAGAAGAATAATCACTGTATGTTACCAGTAAACCCAGATGTTGGCACAACCCATGACTGCTTTTCCATTTGTGAGTCCATTAAGATCATGACCTCTTTCCTGTCAGCATTTCCTGCTCTTAGCCCACGCTTTCCACTCTTTCTCTTTTCTTTCTCCCAAACCTGGCAGCATTCACCAACCCAGAGCTGAGTCACAATTCAGTTACCAAACTTCAGGCATCTATATATTCCCTGCATATACCTGTACAGGAAATAGAGGCATACATGCCTATGTTTGTGTATATATCTATGTATTTACGCATACAATACAGAAACTAACAGCATTATTCAAATTGTATAGTTCCTGTATGTATACAGCTATAACATAGACCAATACACCTGTACATGGCAAATAGGCTAAGAAAAGCAATTATGGATTTGTTTGTTTGGTTTTTTTACTAGGAACATCAGTTTTTCTCACTGCAAATACTAGGACTTTTGTCCTTCCAAAGGTAGAGAGTATTCCCCCAGAAGAAAAAAAAATCCAAGAAGTAAATATCATCAGTTTAGTAAATTTTGTAAGTCAAATAAGTAAATTCTATAAGTTTACCTGCCCTCCTACTGCAGCAAAATAACCATACAAAGGATCCTGAGCTTGTCCAGGGAATGCTGGTCCTCCTGGAGCTCCTCCATACTTTGGAAATAAAAAAGAAAATTAATTTTAAATCAATGATTCAGTTAAGAATCTGTACTTATCAACTTACGTTTTTATGTACACACCATGCCAAAAAAAAAAAAAAAATCAAACCAACCACAAACGAAACTCCTCATGAAAAAATCCCCCAAACCAACTCTCAGTTTCAGTACTGATATACTAATGCATTGTAATGTAAGCAGATCAGTGTAAAACCTTACACAGGAGTAATCGACTGATCTGGATCCAGCCTGGTCTATCTCACCAAGGTTTCATTTTATTCTACCCCTAGCAGAAAACGGCATGCTGAAGAAATACCGCAATTTTTTTTTCCACTTCAGAAAAGTTGAGCAAAACAGATGTCTAGGGCAAATACATAGAAGAATATGCGTTAAGTGTGAAAACCCTTAAAAAAACC